CTCTGTGGCTGGGAACGAAGAGTGGAGGCCTCTGGTTCTTCCCAGTCGTTTTCATTGAGCCGTGGCTGACCCAGGTCGGCACTGATGCTCTCAACACAATTATTTGTTCTAGATTTAAATCAGATTTGTTTGGATTTCATGAATTCTTTCAGGCCATTTTGTACTGGAAATAAGAAATTTTAATATTTAGTTGCTGAGTTAATACTCATTACTAAGATAAGCCCTCGTTCATTGCAGTTGGAAGACATCGGTTAGAGTCGTTAAATAACTCTTTTTTTTAATTAGAGAGGAAAAGATAGTTTTAAGAACGTCTTACTTGAAGAAAATGAAATCATGATAAGAATTGGGAGATAATCCTAATTGCAAGGCAGTTTTGACAATTTAACAATAATGGGAACAACAATTTATCGCTCACTGCTACATTGCAGGCACTGTGCTCAATGTTTCACAGCGTTATCATCCTAATCCTCGCACAATCTTTGTAATGTGTTTTCCCCATATTCTAAATGAGAAACACTGAGGCTCAGAAAGGTAAATAACCTACCCAAAGCCACGTGTCTAGTAAGTTGTGGAGATAGGATTGGAATCTGTGCACTGACGTCAAATCCTTACTCTTTTCACTCTTAAAATGACTCTTTAGAATATGAAAAGTACACAAATCAACTGTTCTACTGAGGAGACTCTAAATCTTCTACATTTAATATCTTCGTTAAGTGATGCGCTAAGGAGGGAGGCATTAAGGCTAAGTGAATTTTGAAGATCAGTGCTACATACCCACAATGTGGTCTGCAACTGATGCCAGCCTGTGAACTATTGATTAATGGTCCACAAAGTACAGAGCTGAGATTAAGTGTTTAGAAACTTTTATAGCAATTAAATATTGCTGGGACATCCAAGCACGTGATCAGTGGACTTGTGTTGTTGAACAAGGTCTAGACAAGTTTAGGTGGTGTTGAACTCAACATGGTCAGTCTCTTGGGCGTGCAGTGAGAGGTGCCAACTACTTGTGCACAATAGGGCCACATATTCCTCTACAGAGATCGGAAATAAAAAAGAAACTGATCCTTCACCACAGATTGTTTGAACATTATTCTAAAATGACTTAAACACACCAATTAAGCCAATTCCAAATTAATCTCTATTACTCTTTCTGAAAGATTATTACACATTCTCCTGGTTCCAAGAAGCACTGTGGCTTCTTGCGTGGTCACTACAAAGTTTAAGACTTTGTGGCTGGTAATGAGCAGAGAAAGCAGAAGAAACATGGTTATGGAGCCATTGTGTGTGGGAAGGGAGAGGATGTTGACAGGCTGGACAAGGGGTCAGAAATGTGTGTTTAGGTAGCTGTCGAAGACTTTCCCATGACCAGTCAGAAAAACAGGAAAACACACATCATAGATTATAAACACTGGGAGGGCCAGCATCAAACAACAGGTAGGAACTATGTGATCTGCAGGAAGAAGGGAGATGGTCACACACCAAGAAGAAGAGACCCCAGGAGAATTATCAGTATGGTACGGGACAAGATTCAGAGACAGAACTTTAACAAGGCAATGGATTATGCTTATAAAAGTTCCTATATAGTCAGGGGGCAATCCCCTGTCTAGGTTGATCTGAGGCTGGTAAGTGCAGATAAGTGAGGATATTTGAATGGAGTAGGAAGTGTGAGGGAAGAGAAAAAGGCACTTCTTTTCAGGCAAAGATTGGGGTCCTATTATCAGATTCTCAGTGACAAATTTTACCCAGAAAATTTGGATGATTTAAAATCTTAGTTGGATTAATTTTGCTACCAGAGAAGGTTATCTATCTATCTATCTATCTATCTGTCTGTCTGTCTATCTATCTATCTATCTATCTACCTATCATCTACGTACCTCCCTATCTACTGCCAATCTGTCATCCATCCATCCAATTTCATTTCACAAAGCATCTACAGAAAAAATAAGAACACATGTTTTTAGAAGACTAAGGTGAAGAAAAGATGGTATTATGATTCTAAAATATTAACCATGTAAAACTCTGTTAATGAAAAAAGTAATAACCTCAAAAACTAATATAAATTTAAATCACAGTACCACACAGGGTGAGGATGTTGACTAGAAACATCCTAATAGATTCTAACATACTAACTAATGTTAAAAACGTTTCAGTTACCATCATTATTTTATTTAGTATGTTAATGGCCTGATGAAAATTTCTTGCTATAAATTTTTATGTTCTAATATAGAATCCAAGTAGAAATAAAAGCCATTATCTAAATTTCTTCCAGTCTTTTGCCCCGGGTCAATTTTCTACTGAAAAATTTTTTCTATGAAGCATTATAGCTATATAATATGTGTATTGATTCTTTAAAAATAACATTCTTACCCTGCTGAATGCATCTGAACCTTACATCTATTTGAAAAGTTTTATGAAAGGATCAATAATTATGCTCTTTTATGTTCTTGCTGTATAATCTTAGAATTCAAATTTATGTTTACTGTGTTATTTTTACTGGCTTAAGAACTGTAGAAGTTCTTCAGGTCAGTTTCACTGATAATTCTGTAGGTGACCACTAATGCACTGTAACTAAAGGAAGGGTCTCCTGGAAGAGCCCATGGCCACCCAAAGATTCCCCACCCTACTCTCTTTACGAGGTAATAAAGAATTTGAGAATAAACTACAGAAATGTTTTATCAAGCACATAATACTATTTATAAAGGCATTAACCTCTGCAACTCATGATATTGAATGGATAGATGGATGGATGGTTGAATATATGATGGATGGATTGATGGATGGATAAATAAGATAACGGTTTTCTATTGCTTTGTAACCAACCACATCCAAAATTAGTGAATTAAAAAACAAGTCATTTGTTCATCTCATGAACCTACAATTTGAACAGGGCTCAGAGTGAATGGCCCATCCCTGCTCTACACAGCATCAGCTAGGGTGTCTTGACTGAGGGCTGGAGGATCTGATTCCAAGATGGCGCACTCACGCGACTGGCTAAGTTGGTGCTGGTTGTTGTTTGGGACCTCAGCCAGGGCTGAGTGCCAGGGCTTTGGTTCTTCTCCATGTAGGTCACTCTGTGTGGCTTGGGATTTTCATTGCTTGATGGCTGGGTTCCAAAGGAGACCAACCCCTCAGAAAGAGTGTTAGGCAGAAGTTATATTGTCCTTCATGACCTAGCCTAGACAGTCATAAAGCATTGCTTCCACCATACTCTATTAGAGTTGCTCGAACTCCACTCTATTGACATTTTTGGCCACATAATTCTTTGTTGTGGGGCTGTTCCATGCACTGTAGGATGTTTAGCAGCAGTAGCACCCTTCCCACCGACTGTGACAACCAAAAATGTCTCCAGACACTGTCCTATATTCCCTAGGGGACAAAATACCACTGGATGAAAACTACAGGTCTATTATTTGAAGCAGTCACAAAGACCTGCCCAGGTTAAAGGGGGAAGAGAAACAAATTCCATCTATTTGTAGGAGAATGGCAAGGTGTTAGAAACACATGTGAGACAGAAAATATTATTCTGGCCTTTTGGGTAAATGCAACTTGCCATAGTAACCTTTTAACTAATGCTAGGGACTAAATGTTTGTGTTCCCCCAAATTCTCACGTTGAAACCCTAATCCCCAATGTGATGGTGTTTGGAGACGGGGCCTTTGGGAGATAATTAGGTCATGAGGGTGGAGCCATTACGGGGCATTAGTGCCCTTATAAGAAGATGCTTATAAGGAGCAGACTTGCTTACTCTCTCTCTCCCCACCTGTGAGAACATAACAGGCAGAGGGCTGTCACCAGGAACTGAATCAGATGACACCTTAACCTTGGACTTCTCAGCCTCAGAGAACTGTGAAAAAGACATTTCTGTTGTTTAAGCTGCCCAGTCTATGGTATTTTGTTCCAGCAGCCTAAACTAAGACAACTGAAGAGTATACATTTTTTCTTCATATTTTCTGTGCTGATTACTAAAACTATTCCAGAGTTGTGGCGTGGCCTCTGACTCTAGAAAATTCTTATCTTATTTGTTCTTATTAAAGAAGACGCTTCATTCTGAATGTACCATCTTGACAATTTTGTTGATATCTCAATTGTATGAAGCAATACTCAAGGTGAAAACCCATAATCCAATTAAAATAAATTATTTACATTATAGTCCAACAAATTGGACCATTTACCTTTATTCTTTCCATTATTCCCAGTCTACAAACTCGTGACACATAGATGTAGTATCTTTTCATCAAACTTTTAATCTTCAATGATTACTTTCTAAGCTAGAGCTGCTTAGTTCTCTTTCTGTGCTTCTACTGCCATGTCACTTCAGTGGAACTTCTCACTCTAGTCTACGGAACTTAACACTGGTGATGTTTTCCTGTATTTTCTCTAGTTTATCAATATTTCTGTTGTGCAGCATCAGAATAAAATGAGTGTTTTACATGCCTATCTTGATTTGGAGAAGAAGTCTGAAGTTTTAAAAATCCTGGTGTAAGAAGTAATTGAAAGTAACAATTTTCTTTTTTAAAGCAGAGCTTAAAGCTTTGTCCAAAAATATTTTAAATTATCACTTAGAAGTATGCCCTCCTACATATCCATCCCGTAAAAAATGCCCTATACCATTTCCTCTGCAATCCTTCCAGTACTACCATGACAACTCCCTCAAGAATGTTTGGAGGACTATGGAAATGTGGGCTTTTCATTCTCAGTTTTATTTTATAAAAAGATTTTTAAAGGATATGACTTTATTTAAAAACTTGTAAAGACTTTCCATAAAAACCTAACTCATGCCTTTGAAAAATAAGGCTGTCTAACATTTACTGAGCATATTATGTAGATTACCTCATTGAATGCTCACAACTATGTGAGGTACTTTCTATTATTATCTCTATTTAATGAACAGGATAACGTGCCTTAGGTTGCTCATCTTGTCAATGGATGGCAGAGCTCTAATTCACTCCAGGCAGTGTAATTCTAGAGCCTGTGCACCTGACCATTGCTCTATCCTTCCAGCAGTCAAACGGAGCCAGAAGGTTGTCTGTACTGTCGGGCTACAGTGTGTACTTGGACTTATCCTTGGGGTGGGGAGCCCGGGGGAGCAAGGCCAGATGAACCAGCCAGGAGCCAGGTGGGTGAGTATTTTTTTCCATTATCCTTTGCTACATAGAACGCCACCCCAAAATTTAGTGGCTTAAAACAGCAACAGTTATTTCTCATGATTCCATGGGTTGGCAAGCTTCGTGGTCTTGCCCGGGATTACTCATGTGTTCACACTCAATTGCTGTGAGAGGGTTCGAGATGACCTCACTCACATTTCTGGCTGATGGTGTTGGCTGTTAGTTAGCGTGTGTATTGCTTTAATATTATTTCATATCCACTTGTTTGTGACTTAAGTGAAATTGGTTTAATCCACTTGTTTGTGACAAAGATGAAAATAATCTTGTTTTGATATAAGAATGAAGTAAATTGTGTCAGGATGTCACCATCTCATCTGCTGTTGTCACTGATAAACACTCAGCTCAGTTGATGATACTCCTGGAGGCTTATCAGTAAGAACATGGGGAGAGGCAACTATGGCATGGGGACCTTTAGACTATACATACCCAGAGTTTGCGAGGACTATTCGAGAGTTTCAGTCTGGGCAAGGCAACACCTTGCTGACCCAAATAAGCTCTCTGAAGATTTAGGGCATTAGCTCCTACTGTAATAAGGATGACTCCTTTATGGGTGGTGGTGATAAACTGTGCAGTACCCTGTGAAGGAGATCAGCGCCTGCCCACCAACACCACTGCCATCCTTCCCTAGCAACAAGCTCTGGCAACAAGGGACTTTTCACTTTTGTTTTGCACTGGCAGCTGGATGTCAGCTCTTGGTTGGTTAAGCTGTCTCTCCTGAGTGCCTCCTCTGTCAAAAGGTACACCTTGAACTAAATTTGGACGTCATTCCTTTCATCTACCCTTGCCTGGAACAATAGTTTAATTAGACCACCATTGGTTTGGAGTATGTTATGTTATGTCTTTATTGGCTTATTAAGAGACATTATCCTGTATACTATTGGCTTGTGAAACCATTATAAATCCCACAGTGAACCTGTGTTAAATAAACTATTGGCCAAGACTGTTTCAGTCTCTGAGCACAATTTTGTCCCCACCCCCTCAAACCAAACCTTGGCTTTCCTCCATGTGGCCTCTCATCCTCCGCTAATTTAGACTAAGCTTTTCCAGCATGGCGATCTCTAGCTTCCAAAAGTGTGAGAGTTGAAGCTGTAGAGTCTGTTGTGGCCTAGGCTCTGGGACTTGCACAAAGTTTCTCCTGCCACATTCTTTTGATCAAAGGAAGTCACAGGCACCTACCTCTGATGGGAGATGCAGCAATATCACATTGCAAGGGGGCATATACACAGGGTAGCATGATTCTTTGGGGGCCATTATTATAATCATCATCACAGTATTTCCGTATCAGCAGTATAAGAAATCACCCCTACACTTGCTTACAACAATAACCATCATTGCTCACCAATCTGTAGGTCAGAAACTCAGGCACATCTGGGTGGGGTAGATTTTCTCTGCTCTACACGACACTGACTGGGGCAGCCATCTGGGGCTGAGGGCCCAAGATCATCTCAGTCACATGTCCAGCACCTTATCCATAATAGCTCAAAAGACCGATGGGCCTCTCTCTTCTCATGGTGTCAGCTGGTTTCATACATATGTCTGGGTCCTTTCCACATGGCCTCTCTCCTCTAGAGCCTGTGTTCATGGCCTTTCTCTTGAGTAGGATAGACTGGACTTCTTTCCATGACAGCTAGGCCCCAAAAGAGCAAAAGCAGACATTCTTATACGGCGTTTTCATGCTGACTGGCTCTGAGATGGTCAAACAGGAAACTCCACAAGCTCTGCAGCCAGGGGGAATCTTCACTGTTACACAGGAAGCACCACAGGGGTCCATGTGTCTTCCCTGAAGGCATTTTGTCTTGACCAGACTAATGTGGAATTTATCCTCCCACTAAAAGGATGAGATCATAAAATACCCCTTCCTTCACCACAACTTGGGCAGAATCCAGAAGCAGACGGCCAGACAATATGGAGGCTCTAATTAGGGAGAGAAAGCTGCAGGGCCACCAAAATAGAAGGAGACATCTTCCCTTGGTAGTAACCAAGCAGTTGTAGGCATTTTGCAGAGTGTTCTGGAGGAAAATAAAGGCTTATTTTCGTCTGAGTGTGCTATACAAGGTCCAGGTGAAATTTTACTCCTCCAAATGCCTGTTTTCTTAACCATCCATTCCACACAGAGATATTTTTGGTTTTGATTTTTAAAGGCTTTGAACAACTTCTGCTATTTCTGACCCTGGCAGAACTGAAGGTGATAAATGTTTTCAACTTTATGCATTTAATATTCTGTGGCCCATACAGACTCTCTTTCTAGTCCCAAGGGCTAGTATTATTATGACAACAGCAGCAACAACAATAATAAATGACTGGTATTTAAGAGAAATGTGTGCCTTTTTCAAAGCACATCCACAGTCATTGTTTATTTTTATCTTCTATTGTCTCACTGGTGAATCTGGGTTTCCTGTGGCTCCTGGAAGTGTGGCTACACGTGAAGAAGCAGAAGCTGTGAAATATAAAATGGCGCCACTCTTGCATCAATTTCCTTTCAAGTATTTGGGCATTTTATTATTTCCTTCTCTGGTTTAAAAGTTTACTATTTTTAGCGAAAAGCAAAACCATCATATTTGGAAGCCAAAATTTAATTAGAACCCATAAATGCTAATTTTGTTTTCCTCTAATGGGAGTCATTATTTGTAGTGGTTCCTGTATGTGTCCTCATTAACACACAAAATGAAAAGTAGCGGTGTTATCGGTTTCATTAGGCTTAACATTTAAAATTGTGTGTTCAAAGATTATTAAGGTTTGTTCAAAGCTAATGAGTGTAGGGCTCATCAGTAGGTTGGCTTACAGGGAAAGGGAAAGAATTGGGTTTGTCTCTTCCTAACTCTCTCCCTCTGTGTAGGCCTGGGAGTGTTATGGCACAAAATGGGGTTCTCCTATCCAATGCACATAAAAAAGCCAATTAATTACCACATCAGCTTTTGTGGAAAGAAATCGGCTTTATTCTGAAAGATCAATCTGCAGGGAGATGGGGCCATGTGCCCTCAGATCTGTCTCCCTGACCCAGGGCTTGGGGTACAACCCATGGGATGAAGGGCAGGGTGGTCTGAAGTAAGGAGAAGCCAGGTATTGGTGATCTGCGCAAGCGTAATCAAGCTTCATGCCTCTTCATAGGATGCACGTTCACAAAACGGCGGTGTTACCACGATCTGAGGGTGGAGTTTTTAGCTCCTTAACGTCACAAAGTTCACTTGTTGAGCATTTGCACAGGCCCAGTTGATGAGTTGGTGTTCTTAACTGGCCTGAACCGGATGAGGGGTCTCGGTTCCTGAAAAACCACTCTTAATTTCCCCGTTGATAAGACGGGGTCAGTTGAACCAGTCCTGGAGAGCCCAGGGTTACAGGAGATGCTGTGGAGCGTGGCTGTAAAGACCTCCAGCGGTTCCCAGATTATGGAATGTTTATGTCACATGACACAGGCCCAGGGTAGATCCAGATGTTATGGGGCCTGAAGCTATTGCTCCTTAAGGACTTAGAAGGAGCCCTTGTGGTGAGGTGTCTGAGGCTAAAGCCATGCCAGTTTCATCGACGGGATTCTGCTGGGCTGGAAGGACTGTGGAGGCTGAGCTCCTGAGCAGAGAGGGGTGAATTGGAAGGAGGGCTGCAGAGGGGAGGAGACAGACAGCAATCTCACAGGGAGATTGCTTTAAAACAGATTAACTAAAACTGTGTGGTTAATTTCCCACTTTTTAGTCCTAGCACACATCGGACATTTAGCAAACAGCAATGGCAACAACTATATGACGAATTTCACTCCTGGACCCAAAACATGAACCAGGTGGAAAATGGTCTTCTGAATCTTTCTGATACATAAATTGTCCTGCCTATAATTTTGTTCTTTTTGAAAAATAAATATAAATCATTGTAAAACATAATAAACTGAAATTTGACTACTTTCTGGACATTTACTGTCTCAAATTTAAAGAGAAAGAAACAACAAATTCTAGAGGATGCAAAGTAATAAATTGCAAAGCACCTTCAGCCTGGTCTTTGCTCAACCTGAACTAGCAGGGAAATCTCAGAACTCTCCACAGCAGAAGGTCTCTTGGGGGAGAGTGGGTTGGCTACTGAGGAAAGCTGTGACTCTCAGGCCACCGTGCTGTGTGGGTTATATAATGGTAGCTGGGAACAACAGTATTAAAACAACAGAGAAACGTTTGCTAGCCCCCACTTATTCTCTAAGCCTTAGCTCAAACGTCACTCCCTCTAGAGACCTTCCCCAACCTCTGCAGGAAGTGCCGAGTGCTTGTCCCTTGGTTCCCCTGGGCCCTTGTTCATATTTCTCTTAGGCTGCTCAGCACACAGCACTAATTATTCCTCCCTCCTCCATGACTGTCTCTTTTAGTCTTTAAATCATGAGGGATAAGGGCTATGCCTTGCCCTCCCCCTCTTTTTGTATAAATCCCCAGGCCTTCACTTGGTTACTGGCTTATGTTAGACTTCGGTAGACTTAAAAAAAAAACTTTATGGAGACATTGTAATTTACACAAAATAAAATGCGCTCATTTAAGAATGCATTTCCATGGCTTTTGACAATATGTATACCTGCATAACCAACAACTCTAATTGACTTTTTATTTCAGCACTTTAAATATTTCACCTCACCCTCTTCTTGCTTGCAAGGCTGGTGATATGAAGTCCATTAAAATTTTTATATAATTTATAAAGGTAAGGCGTTCTTTTCCTCTGGCTTCTTTCCAGATTTTCTCTTTGTCTTTGATTTTTGCAGTGCGAATATGATATGCCTAGGTGTAGATCTTTCAGTATTTATTTTGCTTGGCGTTTGCGGAGATTCCTGGATCCATGATTTAGTGTCTGCCATTAATTTTGGAAAATTCTCATCCATTATTCCTTAAAATATTTCTTTTGCTTCGTTCTCTCTTTCTTCTCCTTCTGGTACTCCAAGTGTGTGCATGTTATACCTTTTGAAATTGTCCCATGGTTCTTGGATGTTCAGTTCT